TGCTGCGCTGGCGCACAAGGGCGCAGGGTCTCCCTGGACGTGTTTTTGATACTTCGAAGCTTTTCCGGCGACTGGTGGGGGATAGATGACCCTCGGGCTACATTGACCATATCGCGTGGTTTAACTCTCGGGATATGGCCCGGACATGAAGTGTTCATCTGGGGATTATCCCACTCTACAGTCAACCCGAAAATGTTTACTTCAACACATCAGCACCTAGAAGTTACCGATTCGTTGGTAACTAGCCACTTCGTACGTAACTTCACACAAATTCTTCACAAAGAAGTATTCTTAGCAGCTGCATGCTGCCTTCGTGGAGCTCACCTTGTGATCGAGCATCGAAGCTGTTGCACATCCAAACCTGTAAATGCTAGAGCAACCTTGCTATTGGGGAAGAGGTTATTAGAATGCTTATGAGGTTGTCCGCAGCCAAGTTTCTGGAAGAAAGCGGTCATGCAAGACATGCTCCTATAACTAGAAAAACATACCTCGTAAGAAAACTTGGCCGCCGCACTTCAAGTGAAAACAAGCAAGCACAACTCTTGGTTTCCCTCCGCCAAGACCACCACCCCGTTGCAAAAAGAGGAAAAAGAACCATAACGACCATCTATGTCGACTCCAGGAAGCGCGGTGAAACGGCCTGCTCCAGTTTTATAAGGTGGTTCCAGATTTTAGCTTCGTCGTCATGAACCCCTGTATCTCCAGCCTGGCCATGTGTTCACTCTGCATCGAGGTTGCTTGGACTTTGTAACTGTTGAGAATCGTGCTGGGTCAAGCTGGCCACGCGATGGAACAATATTTTGCATGTCATTGCACCACGATGATTTCTGCAAGAGCTGTTTTCTTTGAGGCTTCGGCTTGAACAAGCTTTTGGCTGTTGTGAAGTGATGTACAAGTGCAAAACAGAGCTGCGGAGCCAAGTTTGTGTGGACATGGGCCGTTCGAGAAGCTGATCTGGCTGGCTACCTTGCGGAGACCTCTTCCTTAGTCCCAGTAGGAGAGTAAGCGCTGATGCTGCCGTCCACTTCCTGCATCTGTACTGGAACACGTTCAGTGCATCGACAGCGTCGTGATGTGGCGTGCTGTAGCATCGACAGTTGATCTGCAGCGTGTCCGTGTTGTTCTGCAGGCTGGCCACCAAGAGACTGAAGTGTAAATTCCGGACCCTTGAGCAGCTCCCAGGTGGTGTTTTCAGACCAGGAGCGTTGCTGAGAGTCACCAGCACCAAAGCTACGGCAATCGCAGCATCCGTCCGTACTAGCCAACAAAGCAGCTTTATGCAATGCGAAGACAAGCAGACAAGCAAAGGACCGCGAAACCACAGTTAAGAGAAATTGTGTCCACACTACATGAGATCCAGGTGGCAACAACCACCCAAACCAGAAGCGGTTTTGGAGGGTTGAAAAGTGCTCGAAAAAGTTGCCGCGGACAAAGAGCCTTCACAGAATTGGCAATACTGTTTTGATCATCCATGAATTTTATCAAGTTTGTTAACAACAACAACAATCTAAAACTGGGTACGTTAGTCGGCCAGCTGCCATGAAGGTAGCTGGAAGTACGCGGCACGCTCTAAGACGCGTGTTTCAAGCACCAACTTAGTGACTCAGAGCTTGACAAGTGGGTGCGAGTTTTAAGAAAGTCGTTGTCACCGCCCTGAAAGCAGTGACCAGGGAAGCTAAAGCGAGAGGGCCTTCGGCTGGCTGCAGGTCAGTTGGTCCAGCTTGGAGGCAGCTACAGCGCAGACGCAGTCTTTTTGCCGTTTCCGGCTCTTAGAGAGGATGGAGACGTCTGGGTGGGGTTGGTGAACGAGTTGAGAGAGTCTGCCTGTCGGCGATGGCCCCTCGCACG